TATATATAGACACACACACACACACACACACACACACACACACATATATTACTAAGTAAAATAGAATATAATGAGTTGGGAGCTAATTTTGAAGCCAATTTTGAGTTGAAACATATCCAAATAATTTAATTCGATTTGTTTTAATTTTGAGCTTGCCCGAGCGGTTTCTGAGCCGAAATGGATTGAAATAACTCAATTTAAGCCTGTTAGAAATCGAGTATAATGAGCCATGAGTCATAGCCGCACTGAATCTATTCTAGTCGCTCGAATTAGATCACTAAAGCCATACTAATAGTTTTTTTTATGTATTTCTATATAAATCAAAAGCTTAATTTTTAAACTTGCGGATTTGAATAGTAGATATCATCTTTTAGACTCACATTTTTCATATATTTTCTTTTGTGCTTACCATTCCAAGAAAAAAAAAAAAAACAAATGAATGTAAATGTTTCACTATTAAAATTTAACTGGTACATTTATAAATACATAATAATTGAGTGATATATATGTAAAGTTTCTAAATATAAATCAAAACATTTGATGGTAATCAATTTAGAGCGGGATTTATCTTGAATTTGAACAAAATAAAGCCGTGAATTTGATAATTAAATTTAATTCATAACTAATATAAAACTATTATTCAATAAGTAATTCGCCTAATTTTTTTATTAAAATCAATTAGCTTAATAATTCATTACTTCTTAATTAGCAAAATTAGAGCTAATATTTAAATTGAATTTAATTAAATTTAATACTTAATTTTTATTATAAGTAATAAAATAATATATTATCCTAACAATAATAATAAAATTTTGTAAAATCTTAACAGAAGTTACCAAACAATTTCTTAATTAAATTTATCAAATTTATTGCATAATTATTTTTTTAAGATTAATTAAATTCAGATTTAGAGGATTTAATCCTTACTTAAATCTAATCCGTTTGCCATACAGCCTCTTAACAAACTGCTAGACTTGAAGGCTCTGTGAAGCCCCGTTACAGCAGCATCTATTTCAGCTACTTGGTAGTTGTTACAGACGAAGACGACGGAGCCGCCAACCGTCGAATTGCGGGGGCCGCAGATTTGATCTGCGCAGCCGGGCTTCGGGCTTCTTCCGATCAAGGTCAGATCCAATCGCTCCCTGCTTCTTGTTCTCCGCTAACGTCGAAATCCATCATCCAAAGTAGTCTCTGATTCGTTCCGGTCTAGCGTTCTCAGCTTGGATTTGTTAGTTTTTTTACTCCGATTATGATGTTCTGCTGTGCTGTAGCTTTAATTCCTGCTTCGGTTTTTGTCCCTTGTATGCCCTAGCCTTCCCACATCGCTCTCCATCGGCTTCCTCCTCGGATTGAAATCCCTCTTGCTGCTTTCAGGTGGATCATATTCGTGCTAATTTTTATGCATGAGAAATTTTTATGATTAAAATGGCCATGCTGTTTTCCCCTTTCATGATTTGTTAATGTAGAAAGCTTGACTTCTCTGAATCTCGGAACATCCCGCGATACCAGTCTATTTCTCCTATTTCTGACACAATTCATTACTTAGAAATTTACATTCACACCACTCAATTCTTATATATTTACATATCTAAGCCCTAAATTTCAATATTTATATGTATACCACCTTAACTATGCATGAGAAGACGCAATTCACCTTGTAAAAGTTTTATATAGTGTTATTTTTTAATCTTTGATATGCTATGAAAGCTTTGGGTGGTATAAATAGAAAAGCAGAGTAGAAGTTAGATATGTAAATATATAGGAATTGGGTGATTTGTATGTAAATGGCCCTTATCGCTCATTAAATAGTTAGAACGCTATTATTTTAGATTATTGGATTATATCTCTCCAAGTTAAAAATAAACCTATAGTGTGACAACTACACAGCAAAGCATTCTCAATTTACTTTTATTTTTTCTATTGAAAGAAGTATTCAATTGCATTTAAAGTTTTGAAAAATCTCAAAAGACAAACTTCATGTCACGCTTGAGAAGCTCCAACACCTCATTAAGAATAATTCTACAATGTGAGTACAAATGTGAAGTTGTAGAGGGAAGCTTCATGACACATCAAACTAGCAGATGGAGAATATGGAAAACTAGCTAGTTATAGAGACTCGAGTGTAGATGTAATGATTTCTTCTTTCTTTTATTTCTACCGAATTTATTTTGCTTTGCATTACTCGGAGAGTGAGTGGTGGGTTATGTTGCATGGATTTGTTCTTCTCCAACAAATGTCTTTGGCAATTTAGAGATTGACATTAGTTTGGGATAAAAAGTATTAAGGCACATAACATATTCTTTTGTATTTTTTTAGAATAAAATATATGATGTTCTTGAGTAATTTAGGTTGTGCGCATGAAATAAATCGGCTAACATCCAAAAAGAAACTATCAAATTATGAATCTTATCACACAATGATTCCATAATTGAGGTTTCGTCTCATATAAATTGACCAACTCTTCTCCCAAGACACTTCCACAAATTTGTATTGAACTTATCCAACAATTCTTGTCCTTAAGCCAAAAAAATCAATTAGAATGACACATGCGATATCACAGTCCACAAATAACTTTTTTTGGACAACTCAGACAAACAATCGCCCCAGGTTTATAAGGTTTTTGTGGACAAAACAACTCATGGCTAATGACAAGGATTCTTTTGTTAGGTTGGGTCGACTACCTCCATTAACTTAGTAAACCATGGATTAGGATAGCTCGGAATGACAAAAATATGAGATCTTGATCAGGTTCATCATCATTTCCCCCACCATTCGCTTCAAGCTTTGGTGATAAATTTTATTATTTTAAAATTAAAATTTGCTACTACTATATGCTAAGTTTGAATACTTAGCGTCTAATGTATAACTTTAATCGAAAGTGATCTCCCATTAACGGGAGGAGTAATTAACCACAGGGGCTTGTGCCTATTGGGAAACCTCGAACCTCCTATCTTAAAATCCTCGCAAATTGAGGGCAAAATCTCTGAGTAGTGTCTTATTTACTATCTCACATGCCTTTTGAGAATTTGATCGGGAACATCACAGTAAAACTCCCAAATCTTCATTTTTTATTTTTACTTTCTTTTCGAGGGAGGCCGCGATATTTTGAATTTTTGTAGCCCAAAACAATGCAGAGGACTTTGTGAACACAATGCGTCCCTTCTTTCGAATGAGTTCATCATTTATAGTTTATTCTAGGCAATTTGCATGCTTGTTTTGAATTTGGTGCAATAATTATAGAATGTTTGGATTAGATTGACTTTCTGATTAGAGCTTGTCCAATATGCTTGGAGTGGGTGCCGGAATAATTGTTAGGAGTTGATAATTTGGTCAGCCAATGGTGTTGACATATTATCGATGGGATTGTGCATAACCTGTTGTGTTATGGTGGCTGGGATTGTATATAATACAACTATCACATCCTAATAGCTTAACTAAGAAGCACTATTGAAGTCATATTCAAAAGGACTCTCTAGGAATAATTCGTGAGTGCTTGTGATTTTTATTAGAGAGCTGTTTGAATTGGAGCTAGTAGATCGCAATAGAAGATGTTTGCATGAGTATAGCTAGCTCACCACGGAGGTCTTGATACTTTGAAGGCCCGAAGAGATTACAAAGTGTAGTATATCAATTTACTATTACTTCCTAAGTCCTAATTATAAAATCTATCCAAACACAAATTATTGTCTTTTGCTCATGACGCAATCATGGTGTCAAGTTGGCTTTTTCCAGCTCCTTGCTTTTATCATGCTCTCATCTTTAGTTTTGGCTTTAACACGGGTTCATCCATTTTGAACCCAACACAATGAGTTCATCTTCTTGCTCCATTTTTGCCCGTGTTCGCATTTTATGCTTGCAAATTTAACTTCAATAATGGAGTTGAATATCTTTTAACTTAACTAGTACATATTAATAACCATGCCAAATAATGATTATTAAAATTTTTAATCTTAGTATTTGGAATAATAGTATTCATGTCAATCTTTACATCACTTTTTAATTTACATAAATGAACGCATATTTTAACAACTAAATTTAATTAGTAATAGGGTTGCTTTGGTTCGGTTTCACAATTATTTCCGAACAATGCACACCCTTATGCTCACCATTCTTTTTAAAAAAAAGACTGTGGAATGGAATTTGTATTGTTTGACTGGTTGATTTTTTATTAGTGAGGCTGGCTTTTCTTGATTTAAAGAAGAATAGGGAAGCAGTTTTTGTAGGTATATGGATTCAAAGGCCTTCATTTTTCAAGGAAGTTGATGTAAGTTTTTGGTTGGTTTGTTATCTTTCAGAATTGCTGAATTTTTGGGTGTTTAGCTAGTCTAAGAATGAAAGTTAATTGTAGATAGATCAGCATTTGTTTGTGTCAATTCCAGAACATTTTCAGGAAGTATTATTCACTCAAAATATTACACATTGAGAACAAAGTTTGATGCGTTTACTTTTAATATTAATACAGATAACAGCTGTGTGACCATTTTGCCATCATGGTTTCTTTTTTCAATTATGGTGGATGTCATATTATATCTTTTTGAAGAGATAAGGACCTCTGATCATGTTGATATATGCTATGCTGATTGCTGAAAGTATGTTTGTAGTTTAATTTTATTTTCCTTTCTTAGGGGAGTATATGGTGCATAATTAAATGACTTGTTTTCAGCGTTTAATAGTCTTCAAAGAAGTGACTTTAACTGCTGTGGTGAGTAGGCGATCCCCATCATGTATATCATTAAAACTTGAAAATATTTTTGGAAAAACTTTTCTTTTTCGTAACCACCAAATAAATTCTTATACTTTTCAATCTTGTCTTTCAAGGTTAATAAAATCCATTTAAGTTTTCTTTAATTGATATAAGTACTTTCTATGAACTTTTCTTGCATCAAAATCATATCATGGTAGATAATACGAACAGAAAATTAAATCTACATTTTGACATCAATGTGTTTTTTCTTAGGTTTTGTTTAGTCATCCTCCCCCATAAATATGAGCCTTGCAATTTGTTTGTTCTATAATTATTATAATTATGAAGATCTTAGTTTTCTGTTCTTAAGTGTTGGCATTTAGAAAATGTTCATAATGGCCATTGAAATCGTTTTAGTCATTAATTGCCTTATATGTCCAATTTAATCTCTTGATTTCTCAAATCTAATCCAAAATATTCTCTTAACTTCTAATCCAAAATAATCCAAGATAATATTTGAGGATTTATAAGACTAACTTGAGCAATTTTATTGTTTGAGACTAAAATGGCCTTATGCAAAAAATTCTGAGATCATTTTATGATATTCAAAATTTTAAAAATCTTAAAGTTAAAATTATTCAAAATATTAAAACTCTTGAAGATAATTAATTCATGTAAAATCTTATGTTTTATTAGGATCATTTTTATATAAATTTTATATGCATTAATTTGTACTTTATTTATTATAAATTAGTCATAAATTAATTAATTAACCTAAAGTTTATTTAATATTACTATCCACTAATTCAATAGTATCGTACAAAGGCGTAATGCACTGTAGTTTTAAGTCTCTTACCACTTTCATATTCATTTATTGGCAATGAGAAATCTGATGGTTGCGATAGAGTTAAAAATATTAACATCACTATATTAATACTTAGATCTATTTTTATGGGTATGTACACCTAACCATCCAACAAGCTTACACCTCATTTCTCGTAGGCAGCATGTGAAGGAGAGAGTTGGGCAAGGCCTAAGGGTGAAGAAGTGAAATAGGAAGAGAAGAAGAAGAAGAAAGCTAGGGTTTTGATATATAAATCTGATGTTTGATAATTTCTCCCATGCAACTTCTTCATATTATAGTTGATTGGCTTTGAGACTTGTATGATGAGAGGATATTTTGAGGTTATTTTTATTGAAAATTGTAGGAAAACTTATCAAGAAATCTATACTTGTAGATTTTATGCAAAAGAACAATATTTTGAGGTGACTGTTATGGGAGGTATGTCCTATAGTTGATCATTAGTTGGATAAGATATCCATTTTTTAATTCAGAAAATAAAATTTATTTCGTCCTGTGAATGTAATTTATAAGTTAAGTTTGTATGTAAGCTGTATAATAAAAAATTGGGAAATTTACATTAGTAGCACAAAATTCTTATTTATTTACATATCTCACACCTAAACTTTCATATTACATACATAGCACTTTGGTCCTTTAAATCTATGGATGAAAATGTTTATTTCACTTTTAAAAAGTTAAAATGGTGCTCTTTTTGATGTGATATTAAAGATTTGACTCTTATATGTAAATATGAAAGTTTTGGTGTGAGATATGTCAATACATACGAATTGTGTGCATGTATGTAAACGCCCCAAAAAATTTATACATGTTCATGTTCTAACATACATGATTAAATGATTGCACATATTTTTCAATTATGAAAAGCATTAAGTTGAAGCATACAAAGCACATTAACATTATTTTGGAAATAAGATAAAATGCACTTTGAAATTTTTATGTTTATATTTTCAATATATGCCTTTGAATGTTTAATAATAAAAATGAAATGAGTTTAAGAAAAATCATATTATGTGGATAAGTTGATAACGATATTCTTATGATAATCTATATAAGTAGGGAGACAAGGGTGAGTATTTATGGCAATAAAATGATCATCGAGTGGATATGCTTATGATGATCTGTGCCTGTAGAGTGAGAAATGTTAGCTTTTATAGAGGCAAAATACACTCAAGTTAATATATCTATGACAACCTGTAGAGGTAAGGTAATAAAGTTGAGCTTTTATGGAGGCAAAGGGGTCTTCAGGTTGATTCATTTAGGATAATCTGTATAGGTATGTCAGCAAAAGTGTTTTTATGGAATCAAAATAAACCTATTCGAACTAAATTTTTAATTCTATGATACGTGGTTTAGGTTTAATCGAATCCACTACTTTATGCCGACTAATGAATCTTGGCCTACATATATGACATATTTTAAGGCTAAAGTATGATCTTTCATGTTAAGAAAAAAAAAATGAAATAAGTAAATGAATATTATGAAAAGAATAATCTCTTCTGTTAACACATGTAAACTTAACAAGCCTAGTGCATATTATGTTTGAATATTGAATATCTCTTTTAATGTATTATTTGTAAGATTACCTTACTTATTATTAGCTCAATTATTATTTAGGAAATGCCACTTGATAGTGACTACATGCAACATGTTAGAATAGCATATGCATTATCTTAATTTTTCATTTTCAGTTTATAATTAACAAACATATCAAGTTGATATAATTCTCTGAAAAAATTGAGTTCAGTAAGATTACCTCACATATTACTATGTCTATTATTTAGGAAATGATACTTGATAATGATTTCATGCAATTTATCAGACTAGTATATGTTTTATTTTAGCTTTTCATTTTCATTTAATGATTGACATATCCAGTTGATTTAACTCTCTGAAAATCAGAGCATAGTTTTAGAAGTATTTATCTTGCTGATAAACTTACTATACTTTACTCTAGTTGTTATTTAGGTAGAGGGAAAGACGTGGTTTATATTGAGGATCAATTTTTTAAGCAAATATATCATATTTGACGTATCCTGATATAAGAGTTGAATAACATTAAGGCATGTATCTGAATGAATGAAAATTTTGGAATGTTTTTGCACAATTGATTTATTAATTATTGGAATCCATTGGGCTCGGAATTATTTGATATGATAGATTAGGTTGCTTCGAGTGATTGAATTTTTTACTCTAGTTTAGTTGATAGAATTTCAGAATGAGTGTTAGTGATGGATTCCATCAACTGAGCTGTACTTATTTCAATCATACCTTATATATGCCCAAGAGAGGTTGTTGTGGGGTGTGATAATTTGGCATTTTTCTCTATTGGCATCAAACTATTTTTTGTTCCAATAGATCTCCATCCTTTTAAAGTTTAATTGGATTCCAACACTTTTTTTTTTCCTAAAACCTTATTGTATCATCTAAACCTAAAATCTTACTTGTATTAATCTCATACTTTATAAATCTATTTAGTTTGGTCTTCTAAATAACTTTTCCCTAACATTCTTATTCAATAAATTGGGTTGTATTGGGCCGACCACACCTGTATTAGATTTGTTTTGCCCAAACTATAAGTTCATATTCGGCTTTAGCTCAAACGTCAAATGTGTTCACGCTCGACTTGCTTTGCATTATTGATGATTGAGCTTGAATTATGCTTGGTTCATCTAATTAATCTATGTACTTGAACGAGTTAATAAATAAGCTAATAATTTAATAAGTGTTAAATCCATTTGACATTAATTGATTAAGAAAGCACCAATTAAACAAGTTAATATGACAAAAAGGAATTGAGGATTGAAATTGTATATTAAAGTTTTGATACCAGAATAATCCATAATAAGCAAATATGTTTATTATTGCTGGAGCTTAGAAAGAAACACAAGATTTCATAAAATTGAAAATAAAATGACACGACTACAAATAAGGCTCTTTGGCGAGAGCGAGGGCGAAGGTGATGACTTCCAGCTGGCCTGGTTTGTGGTGCTATGGCCGCAATTAGTGGAGGGCAGGTAAGAGGTGGCAACAGAGGAGTAGGAGGGGGCTGGTGGCAACGGAAAGGTGTGGGAAATGCCTTGGTGGTAGTAGACCGATCACTGTCAAGTCTTGGCAACAGCTGGAGGAGGTTGGGCAACACCTGGGAAGAAGCAGGGAGCTAGGTGTATCGGCAGGAGGGTAGGGCGGCTACAGGAAGGTTGCAGGGAAAGTTGGTCGACAACAGGAAGGATGCAAGGATACTGGGTGGAGATTGGAAGGGTGCGGGAGAGACTAGTTGGCAACGGGAAGGATGCAGGGACACTGAGCAACGACTAGAAGGGTGCAGGAGAGGTTGGTCGGCAACGGAAGTTTGCAGGGACACTGGGCGGCAATAGGGAGGGTGTAGGGATGCTAGGCGGTATTCGGGAAGGGCCGGATGACGAGATAATCATCACCTAGTGTAGAATGCAACCAGAGTACCACCCGTCCTTGGATAGAACTCTAACAAGGGAGAGATGTTTGGCGGTGGGAGCTCTGAAATCAAGAAACACAAAATTGAACCCCAAAGCACTCAAACAACACATATATAGAGGAGAAGGGAATATAATTTGTGGGGGACAGCCGGGGGAGGGGGGGTGTTGGGGTGGGTAACTATTGGCACTTGGATCGAGCCATTTGCCTGAATTTTATGGCCTGGCTAGTTCAACTGGCCTAGCCCCACGTCAAGTTCAAAGGGGATTGTGGCGTATAAATAGGGCTAAAAAAGGACATAGATGATGCAAATTATGATGGGCCAATGGTGCGTTATAGAAGATGCATCTGGGTCTAAGAGGGTGTATTGATTGTGGACAAGCTATGAAGAACAAGATAAGCTATGCTTCGATTCTCTTGCACTTGTGCTCCAATGAGCCATTTGGCTGAATTGTATGGCCTGGGTAGTCCTGCTGCCCCAGCCCCGCGTCAAGTTCAAAGGGGATTGTGGTGTATAAATAGGGCTAAAAAAGGACATAGATGTTGCAAATTATGATGGGCCAATGTGCGTTATAGAAAATGCATCTGGGTCTAAGAGGGTGTATTGATTGTGGACAAGCTACGAAGAACAAGATGCACTATGCTCCGATTCTCTTGCACTTGTGCTCCAATTTGAGTTTGAAATGAAATGATGTGTTTGCCTCCAAATTCTTGAATTTTAGCATATTCTTAGCATGTTACTTATTTATACACAACTTTTGTGACCAGGAGCAATCAAAGTTTGGAATTGAAAGTGAAAGAAATGCATAGTGATTTGTGAAAAATGAAAATAATAGTGACAAAAAATAATTTTGCCTAGTAAATGAACAATATAATACATTAGTATCAAATATGTTGTATTTAAGAAAAAATGATTTGTATACCAGCCATCAGGTTTAACTAGTTTCTTAATGAACTAAAAATAAGTTCATGAATGTAAAAATAAACAAGTTGAGTGGTGTTCCACCTTGACTCATTTATTCTCTAAGCGTATAAAAAATGTTTGGGCATTTGCATACATACCACACAGTTCTTATATATATACATATCTAATGCCTAAAGTTTAATATTTACATGAATACCACCCAAATCCTTAAAATCACATCAAAATTCCACTAATGCTTACTTTTTAATAGTGAAATACAGCTATTTCATATATACGTTTATGAAACCATTTTTTTATAAACATAAATATGAAATTTAAGGCATTACATATGTCAATACATAAGAACTGTGTGGTTTGTATGTAAATTCCCAAAATGTTTATATCTTACTCAACTGTGTGGTATGTATGTAAATTTTAAGTTAATGATTCATTCAACTACAGAGTGCATTCACTTACAATCTTATTAATAGATTTTCAAAATAGCTTTCTCATCTTTATTTGATATCTTCTTAATTCCTTTTGGCCATCATATATTTTAATCCTTTTTCATTTTAGTAGATTTTTTTAATAAAAATTTTGATTTTGTATGTCACTGTCTATCCTGATATTTATTTTTGAATTATCCCTCTTTGATTGCAGTAGTCAAATGTAGTTTTTTCCTGGAAGGTCAATTGATTTTAGTTTTAATTTTGATTTTGGGTGTTAGGCTGCAAGAATTCCTTATGGCTGGGTTAGCGGAATTAAAGAAAAAGCTACAGCCTTTATTTGATGCGGAGACTGGACCTTCCATGGGAATTTCAATGGATTCCTTAGACTCATATATGGTAAGAATTTAATAGAACTTTGAGATATAGTTTCAAAGGAAGAATGTGAAAATGTTGCCGCAGAATGGAAAGTTTTCTTAATCATTTGTCGGGCAGGACCTCATGCTACAGAGTGTTTTGAATTCATCTTTCCAAATATGAGTAATTTCACCTAATGCTTTGTAAGTACGGATGCTTCTGAAGGGATGATTTTTTTTTTCTAGCACTTTGGGGATACCTTGATTATGTTTAGTGTTTGAAAATATTACACCACTTGGCATGCCAAATTAAATATGCAAAAAAAAGTGAAATTAGATATTCATATTTGATATGCTTGTTGACTGTTAATAAAAAAAGAGAAATAAGTTTAAAATGATGAAAATGGGATATGCTAGGATATACCATTTAGTTCTCTTTATATATTCTTTTTAAAATAGAGGTACAAGGATGTTAATTTTGTAAATGGTCAAAATTTATGTACTACATATAAAATTGTTTTTTCCTTAAAAATTTTGTTTGCCATTTTTAATAGCAGACATGTAACACGCTTTCCAAATATCATAATAACGTGATGTTATTAACATGCGTTCACCTTTTTGTTTTATAGAAGATGTGTTGATCTATTTTTATATAGAAAGATTTTACATGCATACCACTCAATTCTTATGCATTTGCATATCTAACACCTAAACTTCAATTTTTAAATATATGCCACCTTACCCATGCATTGAAGCATGCATTTAACTTTTTAAAATTTAAATGGTATTTTTGATGTGATGTGAAAGATTTGAGTGGCATAAATGTAAAAATCAAAGTTCAGGTGTTAGATATGTAAATACGTATAAATTGGGTGGTGCATATGTAAATGCCGCTTTTATATATTTTCAGTGGAAAGGTCTCCTTTAATTCTTAAAATAAAAAACAAAAATATACTAATTTTTATTTTTGTTATTTTAATGAAGGTAGCGAATGAAGGAGCTGTCAATTTATTGAGCAAGTCTTGCGGAGTTTACAGCTTCTCCGAACACGGCTTGGAGAAGCGAACAAGTGGGATTTTTGATGATGTTGACAATAGTGAACAATCTTATCGTTGTTCTTCCCGCGAGATGCATGTGTTTGGAGCCATCGGATGTGGGTCAAGCAGTGTTGTTTACAAGGCCATTCATACAACAGTTCACAGAATCTTAGCCTTAAAGAAGATTAACGTCTTCGAAAAGGTGAACCTCTTTGCTCGTTTTATTGGTATTGCAATTTATTTTTTCACACAATTTCTATGTTTTTACATATCTAACGCCTAAACTTTTATATTTTCATGTATAGCACTTAAATGTTTAATATAATATAAAAATACCACTATTATTATCTTTTTAAAAATGATAACACTTTTTTATGCGTAGGTTTATGACACCGAATAAATATCACACTTTGGGTGTTGTATATGTAAATAGATAAGAATTGTGTGGTATATATGTTAATGTCCCCTTATTTTTAGGCTACTGAGGTATGAATAGTTTCTAAAACTTTTGATACAAATTGTTGCCATCGCACTTGTTTACTTTTATCACATTAAATAAACTATGACTATGAAAATCAAACTTAGAAGAGTCAAAACTGTTCACTCTCCCTTGTAAGCTTCTTATTCTCTAGAAACTAGTGAGTTGTCTTATTAGTACCTATTATGAAGCATATTTGTAGTTTTGCATTTTCATCATTTGCCTTATATTATATTTGTTATTTGTCTAATTTTGATGGAAATAATTATATAATATTGATTGTTAATTTTGATAATTATAACTTTACTATTGATTTTAACATGATGTGCACAAAATTTAAACTGGGTGATAAAATAATAGCACATATAAATTTTGAAAGCTTTTCCATGGGTTCATTTAAGAGATTGTTTGCTAAGAAGGCAACATTATATAAAATCATATTATGCACTGGGACAGATGATTATAAATTTGAAGATATGAAAAGTTTGATATTAGTTCAGCCTTCAATGTCGCTGATTTAATTTTTTCATGAATTGGTCATCAATGCCTTATATTCTTATTTCTTTTCGTCCACTGCTACTGTATTTTTCCCTATATATGTGCGAAACTGGTTATAACATTACTATAAGCTATCTTTATAATTTCCTAACGGATATCATAAGAAGAAAGAAGTGCTGTTTTTCTTATTCATTTCTAAGAACTAGGGTTGCTTTTCTCCCTTATAATTTTATTCTCCTTTGTTCTTCATAGGAGAAAAGGCAGCAACTTCTTAACGAAGTAAAAACGCTATGTGAGGCAGCTTGTTTTCAAGGACTAGTTGAATTCCATGGGGCATTTTATACCCCTGAGTATGGACAGATAAGCATTGCACTCGAATATGTGGATGGAGGTTCACTTGCAGATGTTCTGTTGTTAAAAAAGTCCATACCTGAGCCAATTCTTTCGCACATGGTTCATAAATTATTGCTTGTAAGGATATATTTCTTGTAAGATATCTAATATTTTGATGTAGTTAAGTGTCAAAGTAATCCCCTAATTGTTTTCATGGGGCCATTTTAGTCCCATAATTTATAAAATTATCAATTTAGTCCTTCGACATGAAATAATCTGAGGACTAATTTGACACTTTTGTAGACTCTGGGAATATGACTATTTTGGCACTTACTCCTTTTGTGATGTATGTTTTTTTTTTTTCCTTAGAACTGAGTAATTGTAAATTATGAAGGCACTGGGATATTTACATGGAGAAAGACGTTTGGTTCACAGAGATATAAAACCGGCAAACTTGCTCATAAATCTCAAAGGCGAGACTAAGATTTCTGATTTTGGTATTAGTGCAGCTTTAAACAACTCAATATCTATGGTATGTGTTCTGCTTTTCATGTAGATTTCTACTTTTTTTTTCTTTGCATCTTGTGCATTCAATAAATAGAAAAGTGTCAAAATAGTCCCCCTCACTCTCAGAGTATAAAAGTGTCAATTTAATCCTCAGACTCTTTTAATATGGGTTGAAATAATCCCCAATGAGAACTATTTTTAGCCCCCATTAAAAAAGTCTGGATATTAATGTAGCACTTTTATAAACTATGGGATTAAAATAACCCAATACAAATAGTCGGGAATATTTTGAAACTTTACTTTATTAAAAAAATGTCTTCTTTTCAGAAGATAGAATGAATTTCTGTTGCTTACCTAGCTAAATGATTATTCCAGTGTGAAACTTTTGTTGGAACGGTTACATACATGTCACCTGAGAGAATCCGAAATGAGAGTTATTCATATTCTGCTGATATCTGGAGCTTTGGTGTAGCCATGCTCGAGTGTGCTACTGGTAAATTTCCCTATTCAGCTAGTGAAGGAGCTGTCAATCTGATGTTACAGGTAAGGCAATCTGATATTGCTTTTAGGTCTATAATTAACCAATTTTTCAGTAGTGCCTTTTTTTAGAATTTAGGAGACAAGGGTGTTTTTTCAAAGACGTTTCCCAATTATGAAATTGCATCTATTGATTATAAACTTGGGAAATTTACATATGTCACACACAATTCTTATGTATAAAAATATCCACACCTAAACTTTCATATTTACATGCATAACACTTTAGTGCTTGAAAAGGTATTTTACTTTTAGAAAGTGATAATAGTGTTTTTTTTTTTTTGTATGTGATATTGAAGATTTGACTGCTATGTGTGCAAATATGAAAGTTTAGATATGATATACGTAAATATATAAGAATTGTGTGCTTCGTATGTAAGTATCTCTTTTCTTTAATAGCTTTTAACAGTCACTTGAATTTCAATTTCTGTTTCTTATGTTATTATATTGATTAAGTTGCTTTCTGAAAACCTTCAATAATTATACCAATCTCATTGCAGATTATGTATGATCCATCACCTTCACCTCCTAAGGATTCATTTTCACCAGAGTTCTGCTCCTTCATTGATTCTTGCCTTAATAAAGATCCTAGTGCAAGACCAAGAGCAGATGAGGTATTAAAAAAATAATTTACTCTTCTGTTATATGATGCTTAATTCATTTTGTTATTGGGAAATTTACATACATACCAAACAATTCTCATGAATTTACATATCTAACACTTAATATAAAACTGTGTCATAAACCTATGCATGAAAAATTTATTTAACTCTTAAAAAGTATGTGCTATTTTTGATGTGATGTTAAAATTGAAGTTCCAAGCAATTAAATATGAAGTTTAGATGTTGGATATGTAAATACAAACTAATTTTGTGGCATGCATGTGAATTTTCTTTAGTTATTTTGTCTTTTTCAGCTTTTTATATCCTTATAATTCCTTCTCCCAGTCTCCGCTGGATTATATCTAGTTTTATGTTCAACATGATGTTTTTCATTTAGTTTATATTTCAATGTAATTTAGTTTCTTGGGCTTCATTCTATATATTGGAGAGAAATTCGGGCGTGATAGATTTCTTCCTTTTCTATTTTCTTTCCTCACTTTCTCATTTATTATTTTTTTGCAAATATCTCCTCTTACTAACATGAAATATGCATATTGTTATTACTGATTATCCTTGGTACCCGATCTTACTCATACTGAATATTTTACAGCTTCTGACTCATCCATTTATAAAGAAATACGAGAAAAAAAGCGTGGATTTGGCCGCATACATTCGAAAAGTTTTTGATCCAGTTCAGAAAATGAAGGACATGGCTGATGTGAGCTTCTGTTAACTTCTGAGTTTCTAGTCTTTGTTCAAACGTCGTTTTTCATGATTAGATTGTAGATTTTGGCTTGCAATGAAGCACTGGCTTCTAATTGAGACAGAAAGCATGGAGCTTTAGTGTCCTATGATGCTGTCCAATCATTTGCGTATTAGATTAGATTTAACATTAATTTCTGGAATGAGAAAAATCTCTAAATGATCCCTTGACTATTTGCAGAAGGGCATTTTAGTCCCCAGACAATTTTAATTGGGGCTAGGACAATCTTTTCTGGGTAGCTCGTATTAAAAGAGTGTGAGGACTAATCTGACATTTTTATAGACCCATGTCAATAATCAAGGGATCTTGACTTGTGTGCTTGCATGGTGTGTGTGTGTGTGTGAAATGGTCCCTCGACTCTTTTAGGGGATCGATTTAGTCCTAGAATATATAAAAATACCAATTTAATCCTCAAATAGCCTCCATTAAAAGAGTTTGGGCCTAATTTGACACTTTTATAGACTTTGGGAGTAAAATGACACAACGTGAATCGTCAGAGGGCTATTTTGACACTTTATTTGTTTTTATTGTTGACTATATATATATAACCTCACAAGCTTGGATTGCTTATGCTATTAGCCTTTATTTTCATGATTTAGATGCTTGCCATACACTATTACTTGTTGTTTGACGGCGCTGATGGGCACTGGCATCATGCTAAAAGCTTCTATGATGAGAAATCAGTTTTCAGGTACTATTTCTCAGCCTGTAATTCCGTTTTGGTAATTAACAATAATCCTTCATTAGCTAGGCAGTAATTAATTTGTTAAAATTCTCAGTGAAGACTTAGACAATTATACTTTCCAAAATTTACATTCCTACCACACAATCCTTATGTATTTATGTATCATATCTAACACCTAAATTTTCATATTTACATGCATATCACTTTCGTGTTAAAAAAAAAAAAACCAGAAATAAATCCTGTTATTTTTGCAGATTCTCAGGAAAACAGTTCCGTGGACAAAGTCGCATATTTCCAGCTCTCACTGACATAAGGCGAAAATTAACAGGCAACCGGCCGCGCGAAAAACTCATCCATGTCGTCGAGAAGCTCCATTGCCGTTCCCACGGCGATGACGGGATCGCAATCCGGGCGTCGGGATCTTTCATCTTTGGCAATCAGTTTCTCATATGTGGCAATGGCGTGCAGGCAGAGGGTCTTCCCAACCTTCAGGAAAGCTCCCTTGATTTGGCCAGCAAGAGAATGGGTTCTTTTCAAGAGCAGTTCATTATGGAACCAGGTAGCTCAATTGGAGTTTTCATGATTACTGAACAAGATCTCTACATTCAAGCATCATGATATTTCCAAGTTTTAAGGGGGGTTTATATAAATATCATGAAGTTGTACATATTTATGTATCTAGTATCTAATTATTTATATTTATTTATGTGACACTTGGTGTTTAAGGGTCTCTTTGGGGAAGTTGCAGCTGTTTGAAAAAAAAAAAAAATATAGCTTTGAAACTGCTGCAAAAGAAGTTTAAAAAGATGACCGTAGATTTCTAGCAGTCACTGCACTTAGTCAGGTTTGGTTGCAAAATGTAGTTTTCAGTTAATATAGTGTGTGTTAGCGCACGGCCGCCCCCAAATGAGACAAAAATCACATTGAGTTAAAATTAGTGGCTTTTTTAATGTGATTTAAAGATTAGGGTGGTATATAAATGTATTGCATTCAAGATATCTTTCGACTTTCTTTGGAATTCATTTGTAAAGCTTGACGGATATCGTTTGTAATTTTTAAAATTTTTATCATAAAATGCAAAATAAAAATAATATGAAATGAAATTATTATATCATCAACTCCATCAACTTCACTTCTTTGGTTTGATTATTTATTTTAATAACTTATTTTAAAACAATACATGTGACATCATATATATCTACTAAAATGTAAATAGAATTAATATCTGACCCTCAATGTATATCTTAAGCACATTTTAATGAACTGATCAGAGCATATGCATCATACAAATATCTAATTAATTTAAATTGATTTTTATCTAGCAATTATAATTTATTAATTAGATTATATATTTAAATTTAATAGGATGATTATAGTCTTTATGAGAAATTATCTAAAATAAATATTAAATCATAAATATAATTATTACTTAATATTTAAGATAAATGATCGGAATTAGGCATGGGCGTATGACGGGTCGGGCTTGGCGTGGGTAAGACTTGTTTGAGTTTTAACCGATCAAAGCGGGCTTGAGCCTGATTTCTATTTTAAAAATCATAGCAAGAACCCGGAATCCATGGGTCGGGCTGGCCTACGAGCCTTAAAATAAAAAAAAAGGATTTTTGAATGTATAAAAAAGATATTTCATAAGAAAAAAAGCAAAAAAAATATCAAACTATCAACCTCTTCTTTAAATAAATTAATGCATATTTCAAATTATACAAAAATAAGGTGTAAAATCAACTTCTTACGTGGAAGACAAAAATCAACATTTTAAACTCCCAGCTAAGAACCCACCAACAATCAAAATGAACTAAAACTAGTTATATATATTAAAAAGGAATGACCGAAGGTTATTATATGAGCCCTATGTAATATTTCTAACTATTGCAATCTGAGCGTAGCTCTGCGTTCGGAGTCGTGATGTAATATTTTTCCAGACTAGAGGGGACTTACAACTGACAAGCAGATACCCGACTAACTAATCTGAATATGCAGCATGTGTGTTTAAGACTTTAGTAAGATATGATACCTTTAAATTTTGAAGCACTTTAGGATATATATATATATGCGCGCGCACACACACACATATATATATATCTAGGGTCGCATAGCTTTATCAACGAAAAAGAAAACTAATGATAAAAAAATGGAGGCTACAGATGCACCAAGCTCTCTTGGCTACTATAAGTCTGAAATAGAAAAAATTATTGCGTACAAACACCGCACGTGAATTAACACCTCTATAGTGATTCTCATGCAATTCCAACAAGCAATTACCACCTAAAACTCCACATTGATGGAACTAGGGCTGTCAAAAAAGCTCGTTGTTCGCGAACAATTCGTGTTCGGTTCGTCAATGAGTTTGTGTTCGATTTGTTCGATAAGTAAACGAGACAAACGCAAACAAATTTTTTTCGTTCGGTTAGTTAAACGAACCAAACACGAACAGTGTTGCGTTCGTTCGTGTTCGAATCGTTATTGTTTGAAATATAAAATAATATAAAATAATTATATATAAAAAAATTATTATATTTTATACGAGCTTATTTCAAACAAACTAAATTTTAAACGAACCGAACACGAACACAAGCTTTGTTCGTTTGTGTTCGGTTCGTTTACACCCCTAGATGGAACCTTTCAAAAAATCAACAAAGTGCCACTAGCTGCGACCCTTTGGTTTTAGTTCTAAGTCTCTTGGGGTCGAGGGTTCGAGTCTTCCTATGTGCAAGATCGAGTAGTTAGACACATGCGGTACCAGCCCCGACCATCCTTCATGCACCCAAAAATTCGAGTATCACACCCTACACTTAGGGGGAATCAAACCCCATACCACATGAGGCTTATAACTAACAAGCAGATGCTCGTCCAAATGATCTGAGTACGTGACACCAAAAAAAAAAAAACATATGTATATATATATA